TGAAAATTTCAAATATTTAATAGTGGACCAACATAAGGGTGCTTTATGCACCTGTTCTATAACATATTTCCCAAAACCTTATATTGTATAGGCAGTAATTAGAATGAAAATGAGTACTTTTCGGTTTTAGTACTTTCCAGACACTTGATACGTCATTAACAGTGAATTGGAAGGTGATTTTTAAAAGATGTTTTAATTTCAGCATTAAAATACAAAAGTTTTAAAATTCTTTGGTTTGGTTTTTGTGTTAGAGATTTAAAATGTCAAGAGAAGCTAATATTTGTTGAAGACTTACCCTGTGAGGCATTGAAATAGGTACGTTTACATACCTATTTCATTTACCTTTCAGAGCTTTAATTATGAATTAGATGCCCTTATAGAGGGAAGGAACAACACCTACTTGAAAAAAAGATGCCTTATTTATTAACAATATTATCATCGTCAGTACCCTACCAGTGCTTTCAACAGCCCAGTGTGTACTTTTGGGAAACAGAGCTATTGGAACTTTCTGCCAGAAGGACTTAAAAGTCAGGACTACCAAAAAGGGTTTTATTCCTGGCATGTCAGACTAGCCAGTATATGTATGTATATATTTGTTCATTTTACTTAACCTGAGTTAATACTTCATGTAGTTTTACAAAATGTTTATAGAAATATTTTTTCAGTGGATATTTGTTGGTGCTTACTACTTGCCAATTATTACACTAGGAGCTGGGGATAATGCCTGTGGACTGAGTATTTAGCAAATAGCTGCCAATGAGATAGTATTACAAAACTGAAGATACAGACTAATATTACAAGCATGTTTATCAGGACAGGACTATCATACAGAGAACATTTGAATCACAGTTCCTAAAAGAGACATACTTGAATGAGTGTTTCAAAAGAGGAAGTAAAGATGAGTGTATTTATTCAGTATTGCAAGAGTTTTGAATGATCGACACATTATTAGGGTTGTAATTTTATCTAGGATACGTTACAAAGGGGATTTGACTATATTGAGATGTATGTACAAGCTACTTCCTGAAGTAACGTAATGACATTTGCTGTCCACGTAGCAGCTCAGGGCTGTGTCTTTTTCTTAAACTTAATTTAGCTAATCCAGAAGTAATATTTAAGGAATATAGATGAAGATTGGAAATAGCTGAATTACCTGATAACTGTGAGTATGGATACATAAAGTAAATAAAATTATGACAAGTAGTTCTTTAATTGCTCTCCTCACTACCAAGTGCCTCTGTACTTCTGTTGTCTAGTCGGATAATCTGAGGAGGGTTATGTCTCTTCTAGCTGAGTTTCATTTCTGACCTGAGTGTTAAACTTCTTGACTCCATCAAAAGTCCAATACCTTCTCTTCTTGGTACCACCACCTGTAAATCTCGGTATCCTCATAATTCTCTCAAGAAAGCTCAGAGGCTTTGAATCTTCAAAAAGTAACATATTCCCACCACTAACAGCAAAAATTATTGTATGTTCTTCCAGGTGCTCACTAGTCAGTTCTGACTCATGGCACAGTTGACCTTAAAAGTAACTTTGGAACATGATGACCTTTTGTTGCGGTTAGGCTGAGCATAATTTAGAGTATTCTTTGTTTTGAAATGAAATACATAGAGCAGACCAGCATTTCTTCGTGTGAGTTTCACAGAACACTGATCTAGCAAGATATGGCACCCCTACCCCTCGAAAACTTTAAGGCAGTGATCCTGGGGCCAAATAAATAGGGAAGTTCCTCTTGGAGAGTCACAGTGCACACTGGCATAGTCCAGCTGTATAGAATGCTACTTAATATTTTTTAACTTCACCCGTCCAGTCTTAATTTACCATGACATTTTTCCCTTTATAAATCACTTAACAATAATCCCAAGATCAACTGTTCTGTCTTTATTCAGATTACTTTCTTCAGTGGTCCAGCTATTGGCAGCTAACAGTTTGGAGACAGATCTTCACAGTCCCAGGCAATTAGCAGCTATGTTTGTCAGCCTATTCTATAAGTGCTGTAAGAAAAGCTTGTTTATGAGCCTTTTCTGGGATATTCACATTGGTTAGAATAAACTACTAATTTTAGTTATTTAGCAGAGCACAAGTTTATTACTTAAGCAACTGTCTTAGTCATCTGGTGAGCAACCTTTGCTCCTTCTACAAGTACTTACATTCCTCAGATTAGAACACAGAATGGTTGGCTACTATGGAAAGAGTAGAAACAGCTGAGCTTCTCTGGGTTGGGCTGCAGCCTGGGTGGCATTTCCCCAGGCTGTGGTGACCCGGGCAAGGGGAGGTACCTGGTGATGCACTGCTCCGTGCTGCCTGTGGCTCGTGCTTGACTGTGGCAGAACTTGGGAATGGCATGTGCTTTTGTTTCGTTGTAGAGCAACGTCGTATGCGGTTCTCCTTACAAGTTATATATTTATTTGTTTTCTACAGTGATGGAGAAGGGAGAAAAAGGACCTCATCGACCTGCAGCAATGAGTCCCTAAGCGCTGGAGGAACCCCTGTCACTCCTCGACGAATCTCCTGGCGGCAGCGCATTTTTCTCAGGGTTGCTTCTCCCATGAACAAATCTCCCTCAGCAATGCAGCAGCAAGGTCTGTGTGGTACTCACTAAAGAATTGTTCTCTACGAGTATCATAACTTAGGGAATGGAACACAAATGCTTGATATCTGAGAGAGTTTAAGTGATTGTAATGAAGATATAACTTCACTTTCTATGTCTGACATAGTGCATAACTTCTCAGGTATCATTGAAACACAAAAGACATTCAATAAATGTTTATTGAATGAAAAAAAGAATGAATGAGTGAGCATGTTTCCAAACCCTGTTTTCGGGCCTACTCCACAGTGCATAGGGAGCTATGATAGTGACAGGGAAGAAGTCAGAGATCTTTTTATCATTAGAACAGCATCATACTCTTTTATGAGAGACATATAAAGTGACATAAAAATGTTGAACAATAAAGAGATGGATAAGGATATGCTAGGCAAATCTAAGCAAAAAGAGACCAGGGGCAGCTCCTTTTGAATATTAGATCTACTAGAAGTTAAATCAAAAACATCAAAAGAGGCAAAGTAAATGTTACAATAAACAAAAAGATGAAACATTCATGAGATCACACATAATTTTATACAACTGTGAGGCTAGAAAATAACAGAATTTTGGGGAGAAGTAAATAAATCAATAGCAGTAGTGGGAGCTTTTAAGCTATTCTTCTCAGAAAGTTAAATATAGAGAAATCAAATATAGATAATATTTGAGTAAAACAATTAACAAGCTTGATCTAATAATTATACAGAATCTTTCCGTCATAGAGAAGATTCATTCATTTTTAGTACACATGGAACATTCACAAAAATCTGTCATATATTTGGCCACAAAGATTTTTTAGTAAATTCTAGGCGACCATGATTATTTATATTGTATTCTCTGACTACAGTGCTTAAAAAAAAAAAAAGAAAGCAAGAATTAGAGGACAACTAAAAAAATTCATGTATTTGGAAACTGAAAACTGGACTCCTAGAAATTAGAAGGAAGAAAATATCAAAATTGAGGGGTATTTAGAGGGCAGTCCATAGTCTTGGATGCATTAATCTAAAAATAAAAAAGCCAAAAATCAAATGTACCAAGCGTTCAACTTAAGAAGCTAGAAAAGGAACCACAGAGTACAACTAAAGATATTTAAGAAAGTCAGTAAGGGTAGGGGCAGGGGTCAGTTAATAAAGAAAAAAGAAGTAGATAAAAACTGGCATTACCGAAGATAAAACTAACTCTGTCTAGAATGGTCAGAGAAGACTTCATAGAAAAGGTAGATATTTAACCTCATTATGGAGAAAGGGTGTTTCGGAAAGAGAAAATAACAAAACCCTAGACACATCGAAAGAGCTTTGCAGTCTCGAGAATCATGATTGGAACACCGAATGGAAAGTTGAGTCATGAGACTGGAAAGGTAAGTTTGGGCCAGAGTATGTAAAGGAATTTGTATTCTACTTTCAATAGTTTGGAGTTCGTTCTTTGGAATATAAGTAACCATTGAAATGTTTTAAGAGATATGATCACGTTTTTTAATAGGAAAATAATCAGCCACAGTCTAGATGATGGCCTGGAATGGGGGAGCCAGTGAGCTCCAGGCGACCAGTTAAGAGAGTTATTGCAGAAGGACAGAACAGAGGGGATGAGGTCCTGAACCAAAACATACTTTTCGTTGCTCAGCTGTTTTTCTCTTGATGGACTATGATGGTAGATTTAGACCTTAGGTAGGTAACTAATACCTACCCACTTAATCTTTTTGTTTTGCCCAGTCATAGAACATACATAGAAAAATGCAGAAGTGGTACGCTCTGGGGAAAGGCCAGTTAATTTTGAAGTGTCTGTCTAATAGGTCTTTTTGTCCTAAAAGAAGAAGTGGTGAAATTACGTATGCTTTCATTTCGCTATGGGAGGGAAATCTGCAAGGGGAATTCAGTCTACTGAATTTACTCAAGTCAGTGGTCCTAGAGACTACCAGTTGCTGGGAAAGCAGCTTTGCGAAAACCTTTCAATGTGGACTATAGGATAAGAGAGCATCAGCTCTAGAGAAAACTTCTGTAGGCTTGGTTACTGCTAAAGAATGCCTCTCACTGTTTTCTTCTCTGAAGATGGACTGGATAGGAATGAGCTGCTGCCACTGTCCCCTCTTGCTCCAACCATGGAGGAGGAACCACTTGTTATATTCTTGACTGGTGATAATGACCCAGAAAAGGTTGAAGAAAGAAACAAATCAGAAGAACTAAGGAGTCTGTGGAGAAAAGCTATACACCAACAAATCTTGCTGCTTCGAATGGAGAAGGAAAACCAGAAGCTTGAAGGTTAGCCATTCAAATAGGGCTAAATGGTACAATGCTATAATTTAAGGGTTTAGGTTAAACTTAAACCTACCCCACCACCAACACACATACACTCACTCTCTGACTCTATACATACTTTTGATTAGCATATCTACTGATTATAATTGTTTATTTACATTTTGTGCAGTGGTTAAGACATGGGAAAGGTCAGCTTGAGATATTTGCATTTTTCTTTTATAGATTTAAAACATTAGAAGCTGTTAGAATGTATTTGGATTAATAGAATATAGATAATATGGAATCAATGTATTTGATATTTAATATTGTGCATTTTTTTAAAAACCTCAAATATGAAAAGGCAAATTGTCTTTTTAAAATATAATCCTCAATTTTAAATCTGGTTCTCAATTTGTATGCTAATTAAATTCATAATAGGAGAAATATGCCTATTTCAAAATTATTCTTTCATAGACCCAATGCAAATATCAAATTTTCTGTTATCAAATCAGAGTTGCTATTTTTTGTTACTGCTTTCTAAATTGTCTGTTTCTAAAAGTCAGTATTACATCCAAATCATTAAATTTATAACTGAATAATTTTTAATAATTATTGTGCTATTTGTGGTATGTTATTGCTAAATTTGTAAATACCAAATACTCTAGAATGTGTTTTTCAGACTTTGAAAGAATGATGTAATTACCCGGTACTGATAAAACCACACTCAGGGAGATGCCCAGACAGTACCGATCTCTAAAAAATGTATAAACACCATCAACTTGGGCAAGTCATTTAACCTTAAATTATCTCGTTTCTTTACATCTGTAAAGTGAAAGATTTAACTCAAATGGGCCCTCTGATCTTTAAGATTATTGACAAATATACAACGTATGTTTTCTTTGGACTTGCTTTTTTTGTGTTGTCTTCAGAATAGCTTTTTTAGAACAGGTATTCACATTTCTGTGTTTATCTCTCTTAAGATACCTTTTACTACACCCGTTATATTCAATTCTATTTTTGATTTCTCTAATATGTATTTTTCCTATATTAATTTGCAAGGGCACAATTTATTTTTTATTGTTATTTTCTTGGTAGAATGGAAGTACATAAGATTTTCAATATTCCTAGGAAATAAATACACCTTCTTTAAAATTATGCCAAATGTAATTAATGGTTATTGGCATAGATTTTAAAAGTTCCACGTGATGTATGGCATGCTCACTCTAGTGTTCATAGATTTTGAGAGGAATTGAATTCATATATTTAAGCAATTGGTTATATCTTGAACTAACTCATAAACAGAGGAAGGGATTGAGAAAAAGATGGTCATTTTCTTAAAAAATTTAAAGCATGAAATTATATTTCATGAACAGTTGGAAGTATGTACAATTAGAATATTATGTAATATCAAAGGGTAATTTCAGAATCATAGACTTCAAATGACCTTAGAGATTATTTAGCTAATCTTTTATTCTATAGCTGAGTTAGTGACTAGCTTGGGGAGGCTAAAGAATTACCTAAGATCAAACAATGAAATATTAGCAGAACAAGTACTAAAACTCAGGTTTATTTATCATGATTCTTGGGTTTTTCTCATTATGCCACAGAACTTCCCAACTATGCATGTTAATAGAAGGAAATGGAATGTTTTGATACAAATGACGATCTGTGTATTCTGTGAATGTTTATACTACATAATTTGACAGGATAAGAGAGGAGGTGACATTTAGAATATATTCTCAGAAACCTTTATCAGCTCTGTATTTATTGCTGTACTTACATAAAAAAGAAAAAAAATAGTTTAACCCATTAAGATTCTAGCCAATGAATAGATCACTTTATTCTTCCTAATTAACCAGTTGAGGACAGGTATTAACTCACCATTATATCCTCAGAATTTGTGACTGGCACTTATTATTTTTTTTAATGAATAATGATTTGGAGAAAGTTGAAGAGAGAAAAAAAAAACCTGAAGAAATACTATACTGTGTCCATAGTGAAGGAAATCATTAGCAAAGCTAGAACAGGACTGTATTTATTATTAGCTTTAATAAACCTGTTCTTTTTCCAAAATTGTTTGGTTATTACAGAGAAATACAAAGCAAAGCCCGAGAAGCAAAAAGCTAAACTGTGTTAGGCCGCCATCTAGTGGTATCCAGGAAGGATATTTTTTGTAGTGCGATTTATCTTTTGATTATGTCTGGATTTTTAAGTAGGATTTTTACTTCTCTGTTATTTTTTTATTATTTTGAAATGGTTTCTAACACACTAAATAAAGAGTAACATTTTTTCTGCCATTGTTTTTGTGCTGTCGAGGACTTTTGGATGCATGACAAAGATTTGTTTTGCAGAAGGTAAGGCGGTCAAGCAGCAAGGACTTGTGTAATACAGACAACTCTGAAAGACTCCTGTCCAATGGGATCCGAATGAAAGAGAAAAAAACATACGTGTTTATAGTTTCTTCTCCCTTTTGGAATCAGTTATTCAAAATAAAAACCAAATCAGGATAAAAAACGAGTTGCCATCGTTGAGTTGATTCTGATTCATGGTGACCCCATGTGTGTCAGGGTAGAACTGTGTTCCATAGGGTTTCCATGGCTGATTTTGAGGACATAGATCACCAGACCTTTTTTCCAAGGTGCTTCTGGGTGGACTTCAAACTTTCACTTAGCAGCCAAGCATGTTAACCATTTGTACCACTGTAAGCATTTCTTTTAATAAGCTTTGGGCCTATGTTTTAGGCCATCAAATGAGAGAATTATGTATTATTTAAAAGATGGAAATAGCATTAACTTTAGTGAAATGAATTTTTCTCTTTAAGATTATTAAAAAGGAGCACAAAAACATGTATCTAGTGTTGTTAGGGCAGTGTTGATAACTCTGGAAATAGTTATAAAAAAGTATCAGGTTATTGGGGTCAAATATTTTTCAAGTCAAGTTTTTACACGAGGCATTCTTTTCTCAGGTAGTCACATATAAAATATTAACATTCTAATGATGTTTAAGGTTTTGCAGGGTGTAATTTCTGAGGCTGTCTATCACATTTGTCAAAAACTTGAATTCACAGCATAGCAAAACCATGGTTTGGTTTTTATGGTTAGCAGAGTACTATCTGTAAGATACAGAGGAAAACTCCTTAGAAATTCTACTGATATTTTCTTACATGCAATGACAACAAAGTTTGAAACCCTTTCATATATCCTCTCTATTTCTCTTTTTTAATAAGCTTTTTTTTTACTGAATAATCTTAGCAGTTGATTCCTAAAAGTCATTTGGTATGGTTTTATAAATATAAAAATGTTAAAAAATACAGTTTTAAAAGCACAGTGGCCTTATATAAATTCTCTTATTTTTTCTTAGCAAGCAGAGATGAACTCCAGTCCAGAAAAGTTAAATTAGACTATGAAGAAGTTGGTGTATGCCAGAAGGAGGTCTTAATAACCTGGGATAAGAAGTTGTTAAACTGCAGAGCTAAAATCAGATGTGATATGGAAGATATTCATACTTCTCTTAAAGAAGGTATTCTAGATTGTCTCAATAGTCTTTTTTTTTTTTTGAGAAAAGTCTCAGGTTTTTGATTTGTGCAGCCTGGGCATAATTTTGTCTTTGTGCTTTACCTATATAACAGAAGAAAGTAACTTGTTTCTGTCTGCAGCAGTGACTTGATTGGTAAGAAAATGGTGTTAATAGAGATACCACCCGCAAGAAGGTAGCTGACACCATTTCTACAGATTCTCCTTCCGATTTCAAGCAGCTGCTTTCAGCTATGTGTTGTTGTTTGCTAAGGAAGGAGTGTGTGGATTGGTACAAATCTTTGATTACTGCCATAAAAATAATGCAGAGTAAAAAATTTCACCCATTTCCATCATTTTGTCAGAAGCATTTATTTATATATGTATATATTTATGTGTATGTGGATATTCACCTACATATATGTATTTATGTATACAGATTTATATTCTTATTAATCATTTTCCCTTCCACCAACTCATTTTGGAGGAATTGCTTTTATTTAGCCATTATATTGCATTTGTTATTTCATTGCTGCTATGCCATATAAGGAGCCCTGGTGGTACAGTGGCTGCTAACCAAAAGGTCGGCAGTTCGAATCCACCAGCTGCTCCTTGGAAACCGTATGGGACAGTTCTACACTCGACCTGTAGGATTGCTGTGAGTCAGAATCGACTCGATGGCAATGGGCATGCCATATAAACTTCCTCATATTTAAACATTTTAAATTTAAAATTAAAACTAATATATGAATATTTTAGAGGCAATTTCTGCGACTCAAAGATGTTAGTACAAGAATCTCCGTGACTTTCATAAACTGGGTGTTAAATAAAAATCCTAAAATACTGAAAGAAATCTGCTAATGAATCTTATTTTAAAAGCCTATGAAAACGTGTGAAACTGTTGCATAGTTAGATTTAGACTAATTTTAGAATAAGTTAAGATTGATTTTATACAATGCTACATTTACATGTCTAATAGGTTACTGTTTTTCCTTGAAGTTTTGGAAGTCCTTAAGATTTCACTGAATACATTATTTAGGAGACAAAATAATGATTAATGGAATGTGTGTGAGATGCAGATCACACCATTCTTTGGGGTGACTTTTAAAGATGTTTTAGGAGTATTTATCTTCCCGTTTCTTATAGAATACAGTCTACACTTAGTACTGTGCACAAGGCCCTCTATAATCTCTCCTTTATCTACCTCTCTGATCTTATTTTTTCCCCTCACTATCTTGCATTGGAGCCCTGGTGGCACAACAGTTAAGTGCTCGGCTGCTAACTGAAAGGTTGGCAGTTGAACCCATCCGGCAACTCCATGTGAGAAAAACCTGGCAATCTGCTCCCCTAAAGATGACAGCCTAGAAAACCCTATGGGGCAGTGCTACTCCGTCACAGAGAGTCACTATGAGTCAGAATTGACTGGACAGCACCTAACAACCACAAACCTTCCATCATGTGCTTCAGAGACACTGAACTACTTTGGATCCTAGAATGTCCTAGGGTGTCCAGCCCTTCCTACATTCCTTCCTTCTACCTGTCTCCCTTCTCCCCATTTCCCACCTTTCTTTCTATTCTATCTTCTTCTTGCTTCACTTTTCTCTTTCCTTTCCTCCATCCCTCTCAGGGTCTTCATATATTCCTCTTCCTAAAACAGTTGCTGCCCACACTCCTAGCCTGGTTAACCCTATTATCCCTCAGGTTTCAGCTCAAATATCATTTCCTCAGAGTGCTGCTGTCTTATTTCCTAGGGCTGCCAGAACAAAATACTACCAGGTAGATGGCCTTAAAGAACAGAAATTTATTTTCTCACAGTTCTGGAAGCCACAAGTCTGAATTCAGGGAATGGCTCTAGGGGAGAGTCCCACTTTGTCTCTTTCAGCTTCTAGTGGCTATCAGCAATCCTTGGCATCCCTGGGCTTGTAGATCTACCTCCATCTTCACATGACATCTTTTCCCTGTGCGTATGTCTCTCTGTGCCTGCTGTCCCCTTTATAAGACCACTCTTCTCCAGGATGACGACATTAACATAACAAAACAAAACCTGTTTCCAAACAGGATCACATTTTACAGTACACAGGTTAGAACTTCAGCATATTTTTTGGGGGGATGCAGTTCAATCCACAACAGCTACTCACCAAACTAAATTAGTTTCATTTTGTTATTCTTTCTTATGTGTTTTTCCTTTTAATAATACTTACCATAATTTGTCAACAGCAATGGTTTTTGGATTTATTGTATTTTGTAATTTTGTATTTATGTATATGTTCATTTAATGTTTTTGTCAACCCACCACTGCACACCTAACACCTAAGACAGCATCTTGCACACATTCTTTACTGAATGAATGAATACACAAATGAGACTAATTTTCCTGAGAATGGAGATGCTGTATTCATCTCTCTGTGATGAGGTATCCTCAGAGCCATGCTCTGTACTCCGGTACATACTCGATGCTCAGTAAATACTTAAGTACAGTGAATTAGCTTTTTATAAAACTGTTATTGGATGGATAATAAAACAGACCATTCGTGTTATCTGTGGTTCTCTTAATGTGCTAAGGAAAGTTACCCTGTAAGTGGTCATTTTATGTACTGTCATTCATTCATTCAACAATTGTTTGAGTACCAAGGTCTGTCCTTGGATTTCATCATGCAGGCATGAAAATACATGCTTATTACTCTCAAGTAAGGAGGCCTGGTGGTGCAATGGTTAAACACTTGGCTGCTAACCAAAAGATCTTCGGTTCCAACCCACCAGCATCTCTGTGGGAGAAAAGACCTGGTGATCTGCTGCCATAAAGATTACAGCCTAGGAAACCCTCTGGGGCAGTTCTACTCTGTCACATAGGGTTGCTATGAGTCGAAAATCGACTGGACGGCACCTAACAACAGGAACTCTTAAGGAGCTCACCATCCAAGTGGGGAGAGAGACAAACATACGGTGGAGAGCTAATGGTAATCCAGTGTGGGAATGTTGCAGTAAAAATCAAATGGTAGGTGAAAAGGGAGTGACTACTCCTTCTCGAGATGTTAGGGAGAGCTTCAACAGAAGAGACTTTTGAGCTTACCCATAAAGATGAATAGAAATATAGTAGGCAACCAAATGAGGAGTTTGGAATTCCATTAAGGCAACAGTAGGAGCAAGAACCTGGAGCTATGAGAAAACCTTCCGCTTCTGCTGTATGGCAGCAGGTAATGTGATTCCAAAAAATAATTTAGAGCTATATTATGGAGGGTCTCCTCAGTCGTGTCAGGGAGGCTCAGTTTTACCTTTTAAACAATAATACTTCCAGTTTATGAGGACTGTGGCATTGCTGTTCAAAGAGATTACTTCTATTAAACTGTACTTGCTTCATCCAGCTGGAGTTCAGGAACCTATAACAGATCCAGTCTATTTGAACTGAAAACATGTAGCAAGTGAAATAAAACTGCCTGCACTGTACAGAATTGAATTCTGTCCCTCCCAGTGCTTACTTCATGTCCCTTGGAATAAAAGTCATGGTTTTAACATACTGTGAACTGCTTATAATACCCTTTGGTTTTCAGGCTTAATTGAGTTAAGGTCTGCTTATATATGCTAAGTAATTTCCTTTCAAAGGCAGAATGATGTTCTATAGCACTCCAGTTTTACCTTCATTTTGTATTATTTTTATTCCATTCTTTAACAAGTAGGAATGCTAGTTAATTCTGTTTTTATAAGTTACTTGATTACAAATATTTAAAAAATATAATAAGAAAACTAACATTTGTTACTAACTTCAAGCCAAATAAAAGGTAAAAATAGACAGTAATACATCTGGGGATTTCAGAGTTTGGTTTTTGGAACCAGACTGCCTGACTTCTAATCCTAAATACTTACTGACTATGTGAACATGGGCACGTTACTTAACTTTTTACGCCTCAACTTCACCATCTGTAAAGTGAGGATAATAGCAATTACCTACTCATAAGGTTGTTGTCTGAGCATACGTACAATGCTCAGTTCCTTGGTACCCTCAATAAATGTTGCGTTATGTGCTTGACTTAGTTGCTTGTGCTACCATAACAAAAAATACCCCAAATGGGTGGCTTTAAAGAACAGGAATTTATTGTCTCACAGTTTTGGAGGCTAGAAGTCTAAATCAGGGCATCGGCTCTAGGGGAGGGTGTTTCCTTGTTGGTAGCCCCAGGTGTTCCTTGGCTTGTAGAAGGTTCTTCACATGGCATGTGTCTTACCCCTGTGTGTGTCTGTGTCTGTTCTGCTCTTTTTATAAGATACGACTCAGAAAGGATTAGGTTTAGGACCCACCCAAGTCTGGTATGACCTTATTAACATGCCAAAAGAAAACCCCTGTTTCCAAACAGGGTCATAGTCACAGGTACGAGGGTTAATACTGCAACGTAACTATTAGGGGGACGCAACTCAGTTCATAGCAGTGCTCAGTAAATGTTAGCCGATGTTGTTAATATTGTCATTATTATCACTGTTAATTATTCTAGAAGTTTTTTGGAAAGAGATTGGCAGCTTCAGAATTAAACTTGTCAAAGTACGCTTCTGTCAATACATTGTACTGTGTGTTCTTAGGGTGGCATACAGTATGGTGCAGATGCCTATGGTCAAGCGTTATATAGTTCATCAACTATGGTTTAGAAACTTAATTCTAGAGTTCAAGACCTTGCTTATTTATCTCTTCAATTGTAGGAGTTCCCAAATGTCGACGAGGAGAAATTTGGCAGTTCCTAGCTTTACAGTATCGTCTGAGACACAGATTGCCTAATAAACAACAACCTCCTGACATATCATATAAAGAACTTTTAAAGCAGCTCACTGCTCAGCAGCACTCTATCCTTGTGGATTTAGGTATGTTTGCCCTATTGATTATAATTCACTAACATAACAGTAGGTCCCTTTTGTTGAGTTTTTCATGTGGTTGATAAAGATCATATGCTGGCCTATTAGGAGCTTCTGACCTTTTCCCTTCCTGAGGGCAAGTTGGGCTTATCTCTGACTGAAGATACCATAAATGCCTAGGTGTTAAATTTTTCACTCCCAAATTTTCCTGCTGAAAAAGGAATTATTTTGAATTTAAATCATTATAAGGCCATATTATGGGCTAATCAAAGCTTCTGTATTTTTAACAACTGATTTCTTGTGTGTGGAATCAACATTATTTATTATCTTAATCAATGCTGGTTTTGAAAGCCTTCATAGGTATCCTAATAGAATAAGTTGCTATGATGCTGAACAGATCTTAGTGGAGCTTCCAGACTAAAATGGACTATGTAGAAAGTCCTCGTGACCTACTTCCAAAAATCAGCCAGTGAAAACTCTACGGTTACAATGGTCCAGTCTACAACCAATCATGGGGATGGTGCAGGACCAGGTAGTGTTTTGTTCTGTTGTGCGTGGGGTCACGAAGTTGGAGGTGATTTGATGGCAGCTAACAACAACAACAACAGAATAGGTTAAAAGGGGGACCAAAAAGTTCAACCAAGCTCTGCTGATTTTTCCTGGACGTAGGACTCACAGTGGTAAGTATTAGATACTGCTGAAAACAGGCCTCCTTTAAATATCATTTTAAAAAACAATATAATAAGTGATTAGGTTGTGGAGATCATTGATTCGTTCCTGTAGGAAAAATGAAAAATTAACTGTCCTAATGTTATATGAACAGGGATTTGTGACCTGGGGCAGAATTTCCAGTGATAGCATCATAAGGTGATTTGTTTTTAAATGGTGAATTTCAAATAACTTATGAGAAGTAAAAATGATATGATTTTAAAAAATTATATTATCTCTGATTTCTCTATAAATTAGCACAGTATAATAAATATTTTATTATTTTAAGATATCTGTATTATTGAATTACGTATTGTACATTGACAGTGATATTCCTAAAAGTTGGTACTTTTAAGGTGGACAAAGACCTTATTTGAGCCCATTTGGGAAAAATAGAGGATCATCTTATATTTGGGGTCCCTTCATATTAGGGCATATAAAAATCACTGGCTAAAACTTAGTTTTTACTTCTGTTATTTTTAGATGGCAAATAGCTTTTCTCTGGAAAGGGCTCAACTCAGTTAATATTCTCTGAACTCAGTAGAATTAAAAAGGGTATTTTGCCGAGAAACTGAAAACTTGAGTCTGTGTCCTGATTCTGCCACTAACTGTGGTCTTAGGCAAAAGTACCTTCCTCTATTAAATGAGCACATGGAACTAGACAGTCTTTCTGGCCCCTAGCAGACCTGTGGTTCTGTGAATATAAAATGGTGATTGGGATGGGGCAGGCAGGGATAGTCAAGGCAGATGTCCTAATGACAGAGGAAGATGATGAGATCAAATTACAGGGAAAGGCTGGTTGGAAAAACGTAGAGCTAGAATCAACTTCTTAGCTAGACAGTGTATTTACAAGTTTTCTTTAGTAAAACTTTTTCACTACGAAAGTAAAATTATAACTTTAAAAATTGCCTATTTGACTCTACTTGTAGCCATCTGGTTCCTCAGCATGATCTTGTTATTTTCTCATATCTTCTTACTTGCTCAGCAGAATTAATCTTACCACTTTCTGTGGGGTGGGCTGGGAAATCACTTTCAAGCATATGTGGTAGGAAACATTTTAAAATCATTTTAAAATCTGACATTCTCGCAAGTTCCAGTTCACTTGAGTAATCATTTCACAAGAAAGCTAACATCCCCCTTCCTTTTCTTGGCATGGGGAAGTGGTAGGCCAGTGATTTCCAGCTTGGATGGGGAAGAGGGATTTGTTACAGTATTCAGTACCAGCTTTTTAGTGATCCGGGATTGACTGTTTGCTAGCTCAAGTATCTCCATGGTACTTTTATACCCAAAGGTGAATTTTGGAGGGGAATTTATTTGAAATAAACTTGACCCTTTACTTTCCTTGTCCTTTTTGGGTATTTTGGAAAAAAGGAAAGGTGTCAACATGGCTCAGGGAGGTAGTTTTAAGAAACAGAGAGCAAAGAATCTTTGAAAAGAAGTATTTCCTGAAGGATAGACAGACTGAACGTAAAACCAAACCAAAACCCACTGCCATCAAGTTGATTCCGACTTATAAGTGACCCTGTAGGACAGAGTAGAACTGCCCCATAGTGTTTCCAAGGCTGTAAAATCTTTATGGAAGCAGAGTGCCACATCTTTCTCCCGCAGAGTGGCTGGTGGGTTCGAAACGCCGACCTTTTGGTTAGCAGCCAAGTGCTTTAACCGCTGTGCCACCAGGGCTCCCTCAAAGTCTCTCCAGTGTTAAAGTACAAGAAAAGCAGAAACAAATCTGTTTATGGACTAATACATTTCCTTTTAAGTAATATGATGCCTCGTAGAATTCTGGTTTCAGTCAGAGGATGGTCTTTAAGTGAATTCTGATTTATAGGCAGAATAAATTTTATGTTTTCCAGAGGTCTCTCCTCGATATGTCCTTGGTTTGTGGATTTTTTTAATTTTGTTTTTTTGTTTAGAAAGCAGCGCTGCTTAGCATAATGTGTGCTCCCATATCATTTATGTGGAGATGGGGTGGGAGTCTGGCAGGTAGGACTTAGGACTTATGTAAAAGTGGTGTGGGGTTGTCGTTCCTCTAACTTCAAGGGGAAAGAGAAGAATCAAGATCAACCTCAGCCCAAGGCTGATTCCTGTGAGATGGAGGTCAAATATACCTCCACTCTCCAACCGTTTTACCAATTCTGACACCAGCCATCCCTCCCATGGCAGTCTCTACTTCTCTGCTAGGTTCAATAATTCATTGCAGTGGCCACACAGAACTCACAGACTATATTCACGATTATTGGGTTTATTAAAGAAGTAACAGGTTACCATTCAGCATCACGATCAACTTGGAAGTAACCGGAACAACTCAGGATGCAGTTCTTCAATTAGGGCAGCTTCTTCTCAGCTGCTGCCCCTGGGCCCTCACTCTTGGCCTGGGCCCCTGCCCTTGACCTCTTCCCCGACTCAGGCCTGGCCTCTGCCCTATTCAGGCAAGTGTTGCAAAGCTCTTTAGCTCAGAGGCACCCCACTCTGCCAGGAAGCCTCCTGCCCAAAGGTGCTCAGCTCTCTTGCTCTGTGGGTTGGCAAGCCTAACCTGCTGGTCCTGTGCTGCTGCCATTTTGTGCCATCTTCAGTGTTGCAGTTCTTTCTGTCTCTTGGGAATGGGTGGTTCTTAGCACAGGGACCCTGGGTCCAAAGGACATGCTCTGTTCCCAGCTTTTCCTCTTGATGGTACTGTGGTCCTCCCACCAACTTCTTGATTGGCTCTTTTTAAGCTTAGTGGATGGCATGGTCCCACCCCCACAGGGGTTACATGTACCTTATTTGCTTAGCAAAGCTGTCTAATCCCCTTGGTGGGCCACAGGTACCTTATTTGCATAGTCCCACCCAATCATTCTGTGGGAGTTACAAGACCATGGCTAGAAGGGTCATTATCATAGTAATTCACTGCTCCGCAACTTGCTATAGAGTTGCTGTTGTTAGCCGCTATGCAGTCAGCCCCCAATTCATGGCGACCCCCATGCACAATGGAACAAAACACTGCCCAGTCTTGTGCCATCCCTATGATTGGTTGCAGAGCAGACAGTTGTGATCTATAGTGTTTTCATGGGCTGATTTTCAGAAGTAGATAGCCAGTCCTTTCTTAATCCATCTTAGTCTGGAAGCTCCGCTGAAACCCGTTCAGCATCATAGCAACACATAAACCTCCACTGACAGGTGGGTGGTGGCCTACTATAGAGAGAGACTCTTAGTTACTTAGATGGGTACTCCAAGCAACTTCTGAAAAGTGTTTATTTATTCCTGGAGGTCACTGCATTGCAATTTCACTCTGGTCTCCAAGGAACTAGGGTATCTCCAAAATATTTCTTTTCCTTTCCTCTGCAGGGAGAACATTTCCTACTCACCCTTACTTTTCAGTACAACTCGGAGCAGGACAGCTGTCGCTCTTTAACCTCCTGAAAGCCTATTCTTTGCTGGACAAAGAAGTCGGTTACTGCCAGGGGATCAGCTTTGTGGCTGGAGTCCTGCTTCTGCACATGAGTGAAGAGCAAGCCTTTGAAATGCTGAAGTTCCTCATGTATGACCTCAGCTTCCGCAAGCAGTACAGACCCGACATGATGTCACTGCAGGTGAGGCAGTTGTTCTTCATGAGGAACATGTAAAACTTACTGGAAATGTTAGCAGCAGCCCTCTTCTGAATGACAAGTCAGATTTCAAGAAACTGGTGCCCATTGCTTTGGAACTTGGGTAAATGTAGGGGCATGTTTTAGTTCACGGCTTTACCATGGGATTTGGGATTATTAAACCTATCAGTGTATGACATCCATATGCAGAATAACTTTTCCATTGAGTTCCTGAACTGAATAAATAAGCAATTCAGGAGAGGTGATGGGGGCCCAAGTCTCCACCTTCTAAGTCTGCGGATTACACGGAGGAAGTATCAAGTAATCTTTGTTCATGTTGCCTGAACTTGTCAGTCAAAAAGGACCACAGATCTTTTGTTTAAAATCTGAAAATGTCTTTACCCTTTCGTTTTCGGTATATATATGACAGATGTCTCTGCCATGGTTCTTCTTGAGCTTATCATGCAGGGCCTCCTTTCTCTCAGTGTGAGATAGGTCCTTAGAAAGGAAAAGTGTTGAAAGTCAGTGGTGCTTCTTCATTCTGCTTTGCTTAGCATGCTCTGAAGAAGCACTGTTAATATTTTTTGTTATAAGTAGGATATTCACTGCCACTGCTATCTTTAATCTATTTCAAAATCCCTGTTTACACATTTCTCTTTCTGGAGTCCCTGGATGATGCAAACATGTAAGTGCTTGACTACTAACTGAAAGGTCAGCAGTTTGAACCCACCCAGAGACGCCTTGGAAGAAAGGCCTGGCAATCTGCTTCTGAAAAGTCACAGCCTTGAAAACTCTCTGGAGCACAGACCTTTTCTGACACACATGGGGTCACCATGGGTCGGAATCGACTCAACAGCAATGGATTTGGTTTTTTTCTTTTTTCTCCTCTAGTTTAAATTTCACTTTCCTTAGTGTATCGGTTTCTAAAAGGCAGTTTAGATTTTACTTATAGATAGGACATCTTAAATGACTACTGCCTTGCAATTTAAAACTTCTAATAGTAAAATATAAAGGAAGACTTTTATAGAGAGGAATGTCAGGGTTCTCCTGCTTTGAAAATGAGGTCTGCATGACTCCAGTTAGTCATAATAGTATGTTTTAGATGAGAATTAAAATGCTTTAAATGTTTTTTTCAAATATACTCTTTAATTGGTTCCCAATAATGAGTGTTTACGTTTAATATTTTAATAATCAAACTATAGGCAAAAAAGACTGTGCCTTTACCCTATGGGTATCGTAACCAGTGGCTGTTGAATCAGTCCCATCCATGGTGACTCCATGTGTGTCAGAGTAGAATCATGTGCCATAAGGTTTTCAATGGCTGATTTCTCAGAAGTAGGTCACAAGGCCTTTCTTCTGAGGTACCACTAGGTGGAATTGTACTGCCAGCCTTTTGGTTAGCAGCCAAGTTTATTAACCATTTGTACCATCCAGGAACTCCATGTGTAAATGGTATTTTCTTGAGGGGAACGGAGTTGCTCCTTGCTTCTTTACTTCCTCAAGATGACATTGTTGCTAGAGAAATAGGACTTTGCTCTTTCCATTGGGTTTCCTGGTCTGAGTTCATATGGGAGTTTTTACCTGGATATATAATTGCAGTGGTTTGATTCCTAGCTGATGACTATTCATAGGTCTGTTAGCATTCATGTAAGTCAAATAAGTTACTATGGAACATTTTTTACTTTATTTCTAAACAGTTTATCTATATCTTATATCAGCTAGGAAGCACTATTGTTCTTGTAAGGAAATAAATGTCTCTGATTTCCAGAAATAACAGTTTAATAGCTATCATTAGAATTTCAAAGAATGGGAAGTACCTACGGGTGGTGTTTGATTTTGGTTCATCAATAGAAAGATAGAGCTATCACTTTAAAAATGCAGTAATTTTTCTGTTTAAATATTCCTCATCAGTTTAACATAATAAAAATTCATGTAAATTGGGTTTTTTACGTTCATATAGTATGGTCTGCAGTTATAAAGAAATATTTTATGTCTACAATTATGCAGATGTTTTAAACTCTCTGGTGTCAGCATTCTTATGGGCCACAACATTGGGGATCTTATTCTAGAAGAATGGATGTTTTAGTTGTATAAAGTGAGACACACACTTTTCCACTTTCTAGACAAGGAAGTTAATATCTCTTGTCCACTCTGTATGATTTCCAAAAGTACACAGAAATGCCTGTTGCAGCAGTGGACTTAGAATTAGTTGATAGGATTTCAGGTTCTTGCTCTGCTGTTCGTGAGCATGGGCACTCCAGGCTCTCTGCCTGTTACCTCCTCTGTACAATGAGGAAGGTTGAGTCTCTTTCAACTTCAGATAGCCCTGTTTTGTCATGTTTGTGTCTACTGCTTTTTAAATTAACTGTATGTGTCTTTTCCTCTGAAGTCTTTAGTCCCACCTTATTCCATCTTTTCTCCACTCCCTGCTCCAAGCCTTCTTTTCTCTTCCAGTTCTACCTCTCCCTTCTGAATATTTGCCCTATTATCTATAAGACAGAACTGAAGAATTATGTATTCTTAGCACATGGAATTTTATTATTATTAAAGTTTCCTTTCAAAGAAGACTGAGTTCTGTTTCTATTTGCCTCTAAAATAATAATAATAATCAAAAAGTTTAAGTATACCTTGATGGAAGAAACGTTCTCAACTCCTAGTTTAGAATGTAGAAAGAAAAAGTACGATCCTGTTTTGTTTTTGTGTTTTTTTATTAAACACTGAAGTATTACTTCTGTGTTATGATCACAGCTGAGTGTGAAGAACAGAATGCCTCTGATGATACACTTTCTTTTTATTCTGCTAATTAGATTTCCTTAATTCTTCTGTTGGCAGAAGCCCAATATGTCTAGTTTCTAAAATGTAAATGGCCTAAGGAAAATGTATGAGTCTTTCAACATGACTTACTGAGATAGTAATCTCATTTTTTCAAACCTTTATGTTTGACTCCAGCTAAGCTTCTTATTTTATAGCTATTACTTCCTGTGACTCTTTAATTTCTTTCTTTTAGAGTTTGTGTGGAAACTTAGTTTCCAAAGATATGTGTTGTAGGTAAGAGTCAAATAAATAATTTGCTGTAATTCTGCATAGTGACTTTATGATTTTTTTTTTCCAAAGGAGTCTCTTTGATTTTTATTTTTATGCTCTGGAAATAACTGTTGGATTCATAGTATGTATTGGTTATTTTAATATATTTTTATAGAGCTGGTTATTTAATTAAGGGTGCTATTTTGACTATTTCTGTTAGTGAAAAAAGTACTGCTAGATTTAATAAAATATTGTATACATTTCACACCATAATGTCAAGCTTATGTAAATAATCGAGGAACCACTACTCATCTTTTAACTGTGTGGATACAAATTTAAATTGTATTATTTGTGTATCATTTGCCACTGCTTTGTCCTTAGCTATCATAGACATGAGTGTTTAAAAGTTGCTGTATGCTGTCCTTAAATTTTTGTTTTTGAAAGGCCGGTAATCAACGCCGTAGCCAAGCTAAATAATTTCTTAATCCTAAAAACATTCAGAAAAGACAGAACTTTATGCTTTAATCTCTTTTCTCATGAAAACAATATATTGCCGGAATACCTTGTGTGTTTAGAGATAACATCTCAAGCTTCTGACCCCATAACATTCTAAGTCTACATTTTGTCCTAGCAGGGCAGATTGTCTGGTGGGTCTAAGACAGAGCTCCATTATAAATCAGACACTGGGCCTAGCAAAAGAGACAAGCTTTTCTTCTGAACGGAACATGGTAGATTCTTCAGAATGAATGCTTTTCTGGAATTGGTCTGAAATTAGAATGGAACTTCTATGAGAGTCCTGAGCCAGGACAATTCTGATTAAATTTCAAAAGCAATGCCTTCCACAACAGGTCAAATACCATTTCCATGTATATATGTGATACCAAACACACATGAAGCTTCTCAATAGTTTGAGATGGAGTTCCAGTGACTTGCTTTATGACCTCAGTTAAGTGAACTTGGAATTTAATATCAACTGTAAAATTACAATAAAAATAATAATATTATTTATCGAGTGTATGTGAATTTGTTGTTAAATATTAGAGTAATAAAATTAAAGCCAGTGTATTTTATGTACACTCAGATAAATGCATAATATTTTATTTTTCTTCTCCAAATTAACTTTAGATCCAAATGTACCAGCTGTCAAGGCTCCTTCATGACTATCACAGAGATCTCTACAATCATCTTGAAGAAAATGAAATCAGCCCCAGTCTTTATGCTGCCCCCTGGTTCCTCACATTGTTTGCTTCTCAATTTCCATTAGGATTTGTAGCCAGAGTTTTTGGTAAGAGATGCCTGTGATCAAATGGGACAGTGTTATTTATTCCAAGGAATATACTTTTTAGGCATATGGTTCCCTGATTGTCTTATCACGTGTTACAGACTAGAAAATTGCTAGTGGAATTTAATAAGTGTGTCTGGCTCTATTCTGATAGTAATTTGAAACCATATTGGTCTTATATAAAATTGAAATCAAAAGGGAAAGAGAAAAGGAAGAATTGGGCCCCTGTATTTGAGTAAGCTGTAATGGAGCTCTTATTTTCACTTATGCCTAAAAATCAGAGGACAATTTTTTTTTTTTTTAATCTGAACTAAGGACTCATTCTGTGTAATTTTCCAGATATTTATACACAGCTTTCCTCCTAGTTTTTTTTTTTTTTTTCCTTCCCTGATTTCCTGTTCAACCCAGATCAAAATTCAGGGAAACATTTTCTTCAACTGGGTCAACAGGAGTACCTATATTAATGTTCTCTGTAATGGCATTTCTTAATCTGACTTTTTGTTGTTAACAAGGTAACTTTGATTCCTGTTTTATTGCTCAAATGATTCTCCTTTTGTCCTAATAGCGTGGTGGTAGCCAGTCTCTAAGACCATGTAGCTCAGGGAAAGTACCAAGTACAGTCAGGGTAGTCCATGGCAGGCCACTGAGTACCTGTGATGTTCAGTCACAGCGTTAGACACTAGGAGTAAGAAGAGAGTATGACATGGGTGTATTGCCTCTTGGGTGCCCTTAAATCTATTCATGAGTCTTTAGTTAGGTTTGTCTGTTATTTAGGAAACAAAACAAATAAACAAAAAACCCACCCAACTATTCATGAGTGTGGTTTGTTCTAATGTTGTTGCTTAGGACCTCAAGGGCCTCAGAAATGGTGCCCACGGTTTTTATATTCAGCTCATCCATCTGGAACCCATGGTCAAAGTAGCCAGTGTTCACAATTTTGTTTTTAGGTGCTGTTGAGTAGGTTCCAACTCATAATGACCCTATGTACAAGACAAAGAAACGTTGCCCAGTCCTGCACCATTCTCACAATCATTGCTGTATTTGAGCCCATTGCTGCAGCCACTGTGTGCTCTTTGTTAAATTAGGGCTGTTTTTCAAATTGTGAATATTGACTATATTGTAGGCTATTACCAGCATTTTAAAAAATGAGATAGAATAGAGTTAAGTAAAAATATCAGAGTATTACAAATAGTAGGGAGAAATGTTGTTTGGAGAAACTTCAAATTTGAGGACATTTTATTGTAAGGTGCTGTCAAGTCGATTCTGACTCATGATGACACCATAGGACAGCGTAGAACTGCCCCATAGGGTTTCCAAGGATCAGCTGGTGGATTGAACTGCCGACCTTTTGGTTAACAGCCGAGCTCTTAACTACTACATATAATATGTATAGCTATACCAGATTATGATATTCAGTGACTTTCGTATTGGGGTCTGTGAACTAAAAAGTTTAAAAAACACTGTAATGAAATCTATAGACAAAGTACGGCAAGAGAATAAAATCAAGATGCAGTGAATCAAATGTACACCCAACTTCTTTTATTTATTGAATATATGCGATTGATTTTCTTTAGTGAAGTTTTCTTTGGCACTTGGGCTCCGGTTAATGGGTCTTCTATGAATCCTTTAGTATATATATGTATTGTCCCTTCTCAGAGAATAGTCTATCAAGTCGAAATGATGTTCCAGGGCATCTCTCTTTGACTTAACCCTCAGAAGCTTGATATCAGAGTTCAAGAGGCGAATCTTCCCAGTAATCTGGTTCTTACTATGAGAATATGAGTGATGCTGTCAGCTTTACAATAGCTGCTCAGTCATTTTTTTTAATTTAGTAAAGAATAGAGACTGTCAGGAATGAAGAAATGCATGAGGAAGCAGAATTACCAAATTTGAAATCATTGTTTTGCAGCTTGCTCTTTTTTAAAGACTCCTTGTTGTACATTATTGATTAAAGAATGACTTAGAATGAGAGAAATTTTCATACAAAAGCACTTGGTACTTTTCAAAACTATTGCGTGTTTGTATGTTAGGAAGTAGAGTGCGCTTCTGATTTAGGTTATATATTTGTCTGGATTTTCTTTTAAAGTTTTTTTCTTTTTAATTTCCTGCTCTAGTGTAGGTTTAATTACATATTAACTGGTTCATTTGCTTTCTTATTATGGTAATTAGAGTTTAAATAGTACTAATTAGTTATGTTGATTTGTTTTTGTATTCCTGTTGTGAAGCAAAATCTAAACAGTGGTTGAATAAGCATCTCTGAGATTTCCCTAATCAGTTTTACCATTTCCATGAAATTTGCCATTAAAATTATAGATAAATACATAAACAAACAGATGTATATAATTTGCCTTTTTTTTTTTTTAACCCTGGCTTACCTGAGAGTTCTAAATAGGTAAGAGGAATATGCGAACATTTGTTTGTTTCAGTCATATTTAAAATTTTTTTTTTTAATCTAGGTGGTTTTTAATCAATATTTTTGGCAAAATATTCTCTGGTCCTGTTCCAGTAATATAAAAAAAAAGAAAAAAAAAAGGCTTTACTACAAAAAGCATACTTTTTACAATGAATGCATAATTTTATTCATGAAAATTATCTTTTTTCTTAGATATAATTTTTCTTCAGGGAACTGAAGTTATATTTAAGGTTGCACTCAGCCTACTGAGCAGCCAAGAGACACTTATAATGGAATGTGAAAACTTTGAAAATATTGTGGAGTTTCTTAAAAACACCCTACCTGATATGAATACATCTGAAATGGAAAAAATTATTACACAGGTATGATTGGATGATAATGGTAAGCTATAAAACTATACAACAGTTTCTCTACTGATTACCTGTTAAACTTTTTAGCATAAAAATGTAGTTTCTCTTGACAGATATCACTATTTTTGCTTTTTTTTAATCCGATCAGATACATTTAGAAATGAAACTATAGTGAAATTTCTACATTGTGTCATTGACTATGCACAGGAAAAGTGGTTTAGTGCTATGTAATAAGTTGTTCAGGACTCCTTTCAATTTAAACCGATGGTGAGACTGAAGATAGAACTAGCGGAGTTAGGAAGACTGAAGAAAAAAAATGAGACCCAGTTGCCTTTGTAAATATTTTTAGTTCTGTTTTAAAATATACAAAGAGTACATGTGGCAAGAGCATAAGTTTTGGAATTAGAAAATATTAGGTTTACACCTTCGTCTCGCTCTATTAACTGTATGACTTATGCGTGTCCTCTTAATTTTCTGAACCCTGGTTTTTTGCCTCAAAAATAGGACAGTACCTATCTGAGAAGTTTTGTGAGACTTTAAAGAGGATATTTGATATATCAGTCAAGTCAGGAAACAGAGTCTACCTCTGATGATTCAAATGAAGGTTTTTTGTTTGTTTTTTTTTAAACAGAGGTGTGGGTAGGGTTAAGAGAACCAAAAATGGCTGTCCAAGTGCTCAGGAACTAGTAATGGAAGGAAGTTGTTCACACCCCTGATACTGAGCGGGGAAGGGAGGATGTAATAATGTTACCAGGCCGAGGGGGATCCAGAGCTATGGAGGGGAGACCTGTGGCTGGCTGTAGTGATCTTAGAGAGCCTAGCAAGGAAGGAGGAGAGAATTACCCCCAGCCTCCTTCTTGTACCTTCTTCTGATCTCCTGCTGGGACCTCCCGTTGGCCATATCCAACCTGAAGTCAGCAGGAAAGGAAGTGTGAGGAATGCAGTTCACAGGGGTCAGCCTCCCAGGCCAGAGCATAGTGGAGGAGGACAGCAAATGACTCTAAGAAGCAAATGGAGAGCACGGTAACCAGTACACCATGTGTCTGTCTAGTCTTTGGCTCTTCATAGGGACAAGGTAAATGGTAGTTATATATGAATGTTGTTCAGATGACATGAAAAAGCTAAAGGTAAGGTTTGTAGACAAGGCAGTCATGCTTTAAGAGCAATGATAAAGTTTACCAGTATCGTGGAGGCATTTGCTAGAGAGAAGACTGAGTTTATAGCAAGGGAAAGGCAGTTTGAAATCTTGTTCTGGTATCCTGCCTGTGTGTGACTTTGGGCTAGTCACAACCTTTCTGAGTCTCAGCTTCCTCCTATAGAAAATAAAACCAGAGTAATAAGTGATCCTATTACACTTTCATATTATTTTTAGGAGCAATAGTGACCCATTAAGTTAAAGAATTTTCTGCACTGTAACACACAAGAATGTGAACTGTTACTGTATGATCACATACAACATTTTCTATCCATTACAAAGAGTCGAAATCACAAGCAGATTACTCCATAAATATCCATGAATAATTTTTATATGTTAAAATGCTCTGTAAATTGAAAGGTATAACTTTTATGCAACTTTTATTTCCTATTTGTTGATGTATTAATTCACCAAGAATACCTTTTTGACTGACAGTCAGAGATTGTTCTCTTAGAGGAGAGGTGATATTTGAAATCAGATCACTTCTCTTCTAAAATTAGTGAGGGAATTGCCTGGCTTAGAGATCATTACTAGGATTAATGGATAGAATTTATAGACAGGCAAGTTTGGATTTGATATTAAACGGAGTTTTCTAACCATTAGAGTTGATTAACTTTGGAATGAGCTCCTAACATTGAAGGAGACTTTGATGAGCTTTATTTGCGGTTGTAAAAAATGCAAATAATGCAGAAAAAGCACAAAGAAGAAAATAAAAAGTAAACATAAATGTCAACATCCTGAGATGATAACCTTTTAAATTTCCTTTCACACATCTTTCTTTGCTCATATACACATAGAAATATGTCTACAGTTTTACATACATAACTAAAATAATACTGTACATGCTGTTGGGTGACCTGATTGTTTATTGAAAATATGTAGAGTATTAAACATTTTCCCATGCCAATAAATATAGATCCATACCATCATTTTTTAATTTTTATAATTTATTTTATTTCTGTTGTTGAAAATATGCACAGCAGAACATATACCAATTCAACAATTTCTCCATGTACAATTCAGTGACGTTGATTACATTCTTCAAATTGTGCAATCATTCTCACCCTCCTTTTCCAAATTGTTCTTCCCCAAATAACATAAACTCACTGCCCCCTAATCTTTTGAGTTGATGCTGTCACTTTGATTCCGTATAGATAGTTCTTAAAAGAGCACAATGCTCAGGGGCAGACATTCTTTTCTAGTTAAGCTAAGCTATTGTTTGGTTTTAAGAAAACTTCGGAGGATATTTTTGGTTTAAGGTTTAAAGATTATCTCAGGGCAGTGGTTTCAGGGGTTCGTCCAGCCTCCATGGCTCCAGAATGTCTGGATTCTGTAAGAATGTGAAATTCTGTTCTGCATTTTCCTCATTTTGATCAGAAATTTTCTGTAGAATCTGTGATCAAAATCTCCCCATCATTTTTAATTGTTGTATAAACAGTCCATCTATCCATATCTATTAGGTATGGATATTTTAGAATGGTTAGTTTGAGAGGGCTGACCTGGTAGTTTAGTAGTCCCCTATTTAAATTCTAAGATTGAATGATCTCTGATAGTAGTAGAGTAGATAGGTTAGTCTGATTTGACATGGTGAAGCAGAGCAACCAGAAATCATGTAGTTTTTATGTTTGTTTGCTTTCTCCCCACAGAGTTAGGGTAGACACCATTGCCGAAATGGCAGCTGCCACCTCACCTTCACCTGAGCAACTTTAGACTAGAAGCTTACTGTCTTCCTGTTTGGTGGTAATATGGGAGAACAGCAGCCTCCTTAAACCTTACAGCTATATACAGTGCTCAGGATATGCCATTTTAAAGATTCTCTGTGTGATAGAAAATGTAAGTGACCCCTAAGAGGCTGACATGAATAGCAAATGGATACTTATTATAAAATCTCTCTGCCCCATTGACAAATAAATTAGAAATGCTTCTGTTCTCATTATTATAGAGATACCTTATGCAATTTCACTTACCAGTTAGCAAAGGTTATCTCTAACATAGATACTAATTACTTAATAACTAGTATTATTTATCTGGTATACTACATTTTGAGAGATAGTTACTAACCAAAAGGGGGGGGACCATTGTCATCGAGTCATTTCCAACTCATAGCAACCCAATTGGACAGAGTAGAACTGCCCCATAGGGTTTCCAGTGTTGTAAGTAATTATGGAAGCTGACTGCCACATCTTTCTCTCACACAGCAGCTGGTAGGTTTGAACCCCCAACCTTTTAGTATTAGAGTATAAATAATTTGGTTGCAGAATACTCTTGAACATTAATTTACTCTAGTGATGTGGCTTCACTATAAGATTGTTTTAATTGCATAGATATAATCTATTTGTCCTCATATTGACAGTCAAACCTGTTATTATTCCTTTGAGTATACCATGGTACACCTCATTAAATAAGCATTTGGGAGTATATGTGTCTTGGCATACATACAGAGGCCAGACTAACCCGTGGCATTTTCATGGCAGGTTTTTGAGATGGACATTTCTAAACAGTTACATGCCTATGAGGTGGAATATCACGTGCTGCAGGATGAGCTTCAGGAATCTTCATACACCTGTGAGGATAATGAACCTGTGGAGAAGCTGGAGAGGGCCAATAGCCAACTGAAAAGACAAAACATGGACCTCCTGGAAAAATTACAGGTAAGGACATAAAGATTTAACCAAAAGAGCACTTGAGTGTCTCCTGCATGCATAGAGCTATATCCGGAATGATAAGGCATCTAGGGAAATCTAACCACTGCTGACCAAGGGCCTGTGTATTAGTCCAGAGGGGCTACAGCTGCACAAGTACATTTAAATTTCACTTGGGAGATAAAATGTACACTCACAAAATAGTTAAGTGGCAATTTAAAGCAGAATCTGCTTAAATACATATTGGGTATAACACATTTGATTAGTTCAAGGGAGAAAAGATCGAATATGGGAAATTTGGAAAGTTTTGGGTGATTTAGGAGCTTAAACTGGAGTCTAAAGGGTTGGTGTAAAAAATGTGTGAGGAGGGTCTTTAAGTTGGGTGGGGGGCAGGGGGCGGTTGGTAACAATAAAGGAGGATGTGGCAGAGCGTCAGTCAGTTTGGCATGAGTTGAAGATTTATGTTGGGGAGACATGTATAAATATGATGGGAGCAGAATTGTGGATGACTTTCAGTGTCAAGCAGAAGAGCATGACTTTAATCCTGGAGACAGAGTGAAATCTTTCAAAGTTTTTGAGCAGTGCTTTAGAAAGATCAGCCTGGAAACTTTGATGAGGAACGATTAGGAGGAGGAGAAAAGGAAGGGAGACCAGTTAGAAGACATTTGCAGAAATCTGATTGAGGATGAGACTGGCTTAGAGTAAAACTCACAGAAATGGAAAGACAAAGGAACATATCTGAGAAAGGTGAAGGAAAACATGTCACCCAGAGATCCTACCATCAAGGAGCTGACAATTACTTGGGAATATCAAATACTATATGTTTGTTTATACACATACTTCAAATGCAACAAACAATTTATTGCAAAATAGTATTCATCATCTCCAACTTAGTATTGTATGCACTGTGTGGCAAGTCCTTGGGATGCGGCTTAAGGAGTGATAGGAAGGTTAGAAGGTGAACCTGCTGGGGGAGATGAGTTCTAAGTTGGAACTTAAGTATGCATTGGCTCCTTGGTTTCTGCTTACCTCCCACCTCCCCAACACTGCACCTGCCCCAAACCTCATGTGATGAGCCTGACAAGACCAGCTGAGGGGAAAAAAAAAAAAAAGGTCAGAAACTAGGGAACTCTGGAGTAGTTGCCCAAAAAGAATAGGAGCACTGATTTCCTTCACTTCATCCTTTCGTTCCTTTTCTTATTCAAAAAAGAGCCAACATTATCTATTTTCAAAATAAAATAAAACTGGTGTATTGTTCCTTTTTCTTAGATGCTTCAGTGATGATTACTTAGATGTTTCAGTGATGATTAATTAAGCATTTCCTTATTAGGGAAAGTGGATTTGTACCTGTGTTTTATAGTATAATGATTTTTATTAATTGTTGCAAACTTTTTTTATTGACAGTTCAATGTAATCATCCTCTTTGGGTTCCCAAGTTTCACGAGTACCCCTGACACCTTTAAAAACTGCTAGGATCCCAAGTATGTGTTTAGAAAACCCTGTGTTTCCTGTCAGAGGGAGAGAAGCTTATTTTAGCAATGCAGGGTAGCTGTCAAGAGTCTTCTCTTTCAAACATGTCAGATCCCACTCACTCCAGAGGAATATCAGTGTGTGGAGTAGGACCCGCACTATTGTGGGGTGATGATTTAATATTGCATTACTGGTATATTCAGTGAAATGGGATAAATTGTGCTCGTACCATAGTTATATTTCTGAGAAACCTAAAAATCTCTGTTTCATGGAATTGTCAGAATATTTGTTTCACATAACATTTTATTAAGTAATTGGATATAATTGGTTAAGATATGTAAGGTCTGGCTGCTGCTATAATGAAAAACCAGAGTCTTCAGAAAGTTTGATTTGGAGGACTTTTATTTCCTTTCAAACAGGTGGCTCATGCTAAAATCCAAACCTTGGAATCAAACCTGGAAAATCTTTTGACCAGAGAGACCAAAATGAAATCTTTCATCCGGACCCTAGAACAAGAGAAAATGGCATATCAGAAGACAGTGGAGCAAATCCGGAAGTTGCTGCCAGCAGATGCCCTAGCCAGCTGCGAATTGCTGCTGAGAGACCTAAACTGCAACCCTAATAACAAAGCCAAGACAGGAAGTAAGCCATAATGTAAGAAGTGCCATTTCAGTAGTAAGTGCTACTTAGAGTACTAAGGAAAAGAAGAGTTTATATGCTGGCTGAACGCTGAACACTGAGGCTGATGGAACCGTCTAACACCGGTGCTGAGCCTCAAGTCATAGCTGGTGGACTGCGTGCTCTTAGAGTCTGCGAACCCTAAGCCATTGTACAGATGTAGGCTGGCTGGTGGTGGTGGACAGCTATGTACATGTATACAGAAAGTACATGAACGATTCATGCTTTCAGAGAAAATAGGTGTATATTTAGAGCAATTTTTTAGTCAAAACTTCATGAAATCCACACCAAAGGGAAGTTAAAGTGAAATTCCCCTTGGAGATACGTCAAATCTTTTGTTGTCTTTGTAGTGAAACAAAACTAGAGCATCTTTGTATATTGAAATATACTTGAAAAAAATGAATGTATTTTTTTCCTCCAAAGAACAGCATGTTTCAGTCAGTGGTGGAGAGAGGGGGAAGGGTGGAAACATTTATGTAACTTTATATGTACCTGTCTTAAAGTCTACCGACATTGTATATGAGGGGAATCGACTGATTGGCAGTCACGCCCCTGTGGGTATTTCAGGAAGTTGGGAGCATTGCTGTCCTGCCTGCCTTGTACCAACTAGCATGTTGCGCCCACATGCATTTTGAGTCTGGTTCGTCATTACTTGAGATGTGTGTAAGGAGAAACCGAGACCCACGTTAAAGGAGAAAGTTGCTAATTTTCTAGCAAATTAGACCAGCATTGTTACTCAAACCAAAAGCATCAGACATAAAACATTTAATTTGGGACCTAAATTGTCTAGGTTAGCTTTCTACCATTTTATTTAAATTACTCCTACAGTTGTGAATTGACTCCTCTTTACTTGGTGCCATGGTCAGTGGCAACCGTTTGCCATTTTCCCACCCAAAAGTAAGAGCTCTTAGTTTACTTCTCTCTCTACCTTAAGTGAAGGATGAGGAAATGCAATTATGATTGGTTTTCTAAAGAGAACATGCTGGGTTGAGATACCGTGGTTTTTTGGGGTTTTTTTGGTCAATTGAAAGAATCTAATAAACTCTAATTAAATTTCCTTTTCATGTAAAAACTTATATAGGAACTGTGAAGTGTTTAAGAGCAAACTTTGTTGAACTCCATTGGAAGGGAAGGGGAAAGTGGCACCGAGGCCATGTGAAAACCTAGGGTTCAGCATTTAGACTCCCAACTTCCTCAGCCCACAGACAGCTGATCAGAGAACATTCCTGCATGCTGGGTGTATGGAAGGACAGTGATTTTCGGAGTACACACGCAGTTGTCTGTTTCAGAGATGATTCTACCATGGTGCCTCTGAAAGTTAATGCAGCATTTTTGCCTTTCCAAACAAGATTTACCATCCCTGCTTTTTGCAGTGCCTGTATTATCACAGGTGGACTAGCTGAGTTAATTTCCTTCAAAGGGAATTTGTTATACAACAAAGTTGAAATTTTATCATAGGGTAGAAGATTAAAGCACTAAAGCTTTTGGAAAACTCTCAACAAAGTTGAAATTTTATCATAGGGTAGAA